AAATGCTCCCTCCATGGTTCAAATTTTTAAGACTTTTTCTAACGGCTTTTTCGAAGCTTCCATCGACTGGTCGTCGAACCATCTTTCGAGGAGTCAAGTTAGACTTACGGCAAAAGTATACGGAAGGCACACGAATTGTTTGGTGGGGATTTTCCTCGTGCACGACAACTATTGAAGTTCTCGGAAATGATGCCTTTTTTGGAAAGAGTGGCACGAGAACATTATTGTCGATTGAATGCGATTCTGGAAAAGACATTCATCAGCATTCATTCTATCAAAAGAAAGATGAAATACTTCTTCTTCCTGGTCGAGAATTCGAAGTCGTTTCATCAACGGACATGGGTCATAACCTTAGCATGATTCAATTGAAGGAAGTCGTACCGCGATTTCCAAATATAGCGTCCATTACATCATCAAATCCTCCAGCGATCAGTACTACTACCAAAAGTGGAACTGCTGCCAGCACTACCATGCCAGTAGCAGTAGCAACAGCAGCAGCAGTGCCAAAACCAGCTCCTAAACCCAAACCTCCTGTACAACCAGTGAAGGTCTCCTATACAAAGAATAATATTACCGATGCCGACATCCCACGTATAATTAAGGAAGCAATTGTACAACAACAATGTACGGAACTCAATTTATCCTTAAATAAAATTACACATGAAGGTGCTGCAATGCTTGCCAACGAATTGCGAAATAATACGGTAAGAAAGTTATATTGTTCATCTATTGACAAAAATACTCTGAAGACCTTATAATCTCATATATATGAATCATTCATGAATAACGTCTGCACTTATTTGATAAACTGACATGTCAATTGAAAAGAAACATGAAAAGAATAGTTTCATAGAGAATAATGAGACGAGCAAATGGGAATAGTTACACAATGTAAAAAAATATTCTATTCGTAAAGTAGATAAAACATTTACTATTTGGAACAAAAAAAAACTTCAAACTATAAAACTTTACTCATTAACTAAAATTAATACAGAGTATTATTCAATGTTTTCATCATCACGATATTTTATAATATCAATGATTTGAAATAGGCATTTTAGAAAAATATTAATCTACTTCTACGATGGAATATTACGTTATTTATAATGACTAGTGTAATAATATCTTTACAACAAATCAGAATTTTTTTTGAACACTTTTTTATCTTCTCAAATCTACATATTATAGTCTTTGTGGTCCAATTAGTAATCCAGATTTGTTTCACATTTTTCATAAATTGTCTCATGAAATGAATCGTCTTTTTGAATTGTACAGAATGAATACGTCTTTTTTACTTGCACATATAGATAAATGTTTTACTTAGTATTCAAATATCATGCATGGACACAAAGAGAAAAACTTCCGATGGTATATTG